GGCAATGATGGCGATTTAAGATTGAAAAAATAAACTGTAACAAGCTGCATTGAGATAAAATAATCTCATATGAAAAGAGGGGGCTGCTATTTCGACTACATCTATAAATGCGGGACATTTGCCGGGCTTAGTTAATAATCAACTGTGGCTGTGGCTGTGGCTGAGGCTGAGGCTGTAGCTGTCGCTGTGCCGGGCGGGTCGTGCGTTCTTTTTACTGTTGCGGAATTGAAGTTGATGTACTACATCATCAGCTACATTTCTATATGTACGTATATGAGGGCGGCGTGTCGGACGCACGCACACACACAGACACACACTCGCAGAGAGATGAGATCGCGGCTCGGTAATAAATTGATGGTTATTTTCAAAAATCCAATGACTGTCCGAGCGATCGCTGCACAAATCAGTTGAAGAATCGCACTCGAGCGACAATGTTCTCTCGGTCGCGCGTTACAAGACTCACAGCCCAACTCGAACATGGATCGTGCCCAAGCAGAGTATAATAAATTTATTACATTGAAAACAAATATTAAACTGTGCTTCACATCTTTTTTGCTGGCACATGCAATATATATATAGTTATATATATATACAGCTATGTATTTTCTATATATATGGAAGACAAGCAGAGGCACGAGCAGTTGTTGCTCCTACGACGACTGGTCAATTCTCCGTGCGAGGTTAAGACCCCGCAAAAGGCGCGATAATCACAATCGGCAGCGATGTCGTTTTGTCGCCGACAAAACTTGGCAGCAAAGCTGTGCTCAGACCCCCGTGCAGTTAAATGCCAGCGGCGTTCAGCAGCGGGTGGCTCTGTTCAGCTCTCAGTGTGTTTGTAATTCCAAAGACTCGCCTGCATTGCAGCTGGACACTACAAGAGAAACTTCTACAAAATGGTATTGTGTAATGTGAAGTGAAAAGCACCAAGAAAACGGCATGAACAAGGCATAAGACTAACTTGTCATAGTTTGTCAGTGGCGAGCCTTGACGTCTACGTCTAATTAAATGTAAATTGATAGTTAAAGATCTAAGCAAGTTTATGGCTAAAAATGAATTCGGAAATTGATATTTGCCTAATCAAAATTTAATGTTGAGCTTAAGTAGAATTTCTAGTTAAAAATCAAATGAAATTTAAGTGTTTTTTGAGAAAAAAGTGTAGAATTTGACTGTCGTGATACTCTATATTCATTAAGAATGTGTTGGAAGTATTCAGTTAGCTTGAAGGTAATTAGCTCTAAAGAGTGAGGGAGAACTAGCGTGAGATCTTCATTGGCATACTAAATAGATATTCAAGGCTAGAACTAGTTCTTTGGTATACTAAATCGATATTTATCGATAGACTGTAACGGCATAGTATACAGGAAAACTGAATCCGACAAGAAAATATTTTATTATTTCATTATATTTTTCTTTTCTTACGAATTTACTTTGAAATTCTTTCTAAACATCAATATATATCGATATATTTATCGATTTATTTTCAAACATATTTCCAAGGCTATTAGTTTGATAAATACATTATCATTTTTCAATCATCGACAGTCAAAACTTAATAAAAACTCCTAGTGTCTAGCATACTGAAAAGACTCTGACTAACAATTGGCTACCTTTATATGATAATTTCATAATTGTTCACTCTTGGTAAGTCTTTCATCCTTAAACACCATATCTAAATGCACATATTGCTCTCATCAACCTCAACTGCAGGGTATTTCAGCAGCAGAGCTCGCTCTTAATCATTTCACATATGAATACTGCAGGCAGAGCTGCACAGGAAATTGTGTTAGTCATATGTGAAGTGCTATCAATTGATACTTATGCGTATTGTTAATCTATGTTGTTCACTTGAATATGAAAATGAAAAGTATTTGCATTCATGTATTTGCTTATTAAAATTTGTTATAGTTATTGTTTGCTGCATCTTGCACACACAACAATTTGTTGCATATTTTTGGACAAGCTTTAGTACTTGACGCATATACAACGGCAGCAAACTCAATCAAATGGAGGCAAGTGGTAGCCGACAACAGCTACAATAAGATTCCTGCTACACATTGTGTGTAGTTTTATTCGTTTAAATTCAATTGACTTTGAATGCTCCACAATGGAGGCAAACAAGCGACACACACACACACTCTCATACAGAGACACAGCACAGATCCAGAATCAACGTTGTCTTTTTATTTATTTTTGTTGTTTTCGCTGTTGTCTGGGTTGAAGCGCATTGAGCGGCGCAACGGAAAACGAATGAGGGTCAATTAAGCCAATTTAAATTTAATAAACTTATGTATTATGTGCAAGAGGTTACTAGCCATAGCAATATGCCATATATGACTTGTAATGATACACAGCAAGAGAAAGAGAGAGAGAGGGGCAGCGAGAGAAAGAGATAGAGCGTTTAAGCGAGAGAGCAAGAGACAGCGAGCGTGTGAGCGCTGCCAAGCTATATGCCACAATCGTTTCAGTGTTTCATTCTTAATTTTTTTTGGGGGTTGCAAACAAGACTTGATATATCTAAGTTGATTTCTGACTCAGCTGTGCAGAGGTTATATGTACATATGTATATATATCAATAGCATTCAACTATATAAATTATAAAGTGCATAGTTCAAAATACATTAATATTCTGAAGGCATATGCCGCACTGTCTCCAGCAGCCAGCATAAGAAGTGACGGAGGGGGAGAGCGGCGCACAAATGTTTGATGTGTGATGCCATGTGGTATGTAAATACACATATATATATATATATATATATATATATCTGTAGCAAACTTGCGACGTGAATAGGAAAATGTAAATGTTATATCATTTGCAGAACATTCAAAATTATATTTGAGCAAATAAGAAGTTAAAGAAGTCGTTTAATGATGAGAAAGTTGACATAACGCATGTAAGAATAAACCTGAAGTAGGGCGCTTTAAGATGAAGCTGGATGAAACTGCAGCATGCTTAAAGCTGAAGAAGTAGCTCGAAACGCTCTGAAAGTGCACGAAATCAAATGCGTTCAACAGTAGCAGCATTAAAGTTCTTGAAGTTATTCAAAATGCTCAATGAAATGCTCAAATGAAGTTGTTTCAGCTGCATAGTTACTTTAAGCTGAAGAGCTCGCTCGAATTGATCAACGGTACTTTGTGTCACTGTAAAAGGATTAATGCTGAAGAAGTCGCTCTAATTGCAGCAGGAATAAAACTGTATGTCATTCTCTCTCTCACTCTCTCTCTCTCTCTCTCTCTCTGTAGCTGGACTTAAGCTGAAGAAGTCGTGCGAAATGCGCGACTAAAGCTGAAGAGCTCGCTCTAATTGCATGAAGAACACTGAAGACCTCGCTCTAAAGCCCGCAGGCCTATATGCCAGGCTCTCTCCCCCTTTCACTCTCTTTTCCCATACAGCAGAACTTAAGCTGTAGAAGCCGCGTGAAATGTGTCATTTAAACAGTGTAACTGATTAAAGCTGTATGTAAATATATCTCTTTCTCTCTCTCTCTCTCTTTGTCTGCAGGACTTAATGTGAAGAAGTTGCGTGAACTCCAAGATAATTTAAGACAAAGAACTTATACGCTCTGTAAGAGTATTAAAATCTGAATGCTTCCTTACTGTTTTTCAGGTAAACTAAAGCTGAAACTTCTATAAGTACTTATTAGAATTAAAGCTAGCTAGCTCATTGTTAGCTGACTTAAAACTGAAGAGCTCGAAATCCATAGAGAGGAGCTGGCTTTCTTTACAAGAAGGTTAAAAGCTAAAGAGCTTTTTCAAACTGCAGCAGGATTATTACGGAAGAACTTACTTCAAGTGCAAGCGGATTAAGGCTGAAGCGCAGCAGGAGGATTAAAGGCGACTAGGTCGCTCACAAAGAGGCTTAAAGCCATTGTGACAAGTATGTGGTACTTACCTTGAATTTGTGGCCAAAAAACATATTGCTTTCCTAAGTACTAGTGCCGCAGGAGTTAGGGTTGTGTCCGCAATGCCTCCTGCTGCCCAAGTGCTTATCAAAGCGACGAGTTTTCCATCAGCAATAATTAAAATTAATTTATATTGTGTTCTTTTTCTTTTTTTTATCATTTTATTACTTTTTAATTGATTTAATAGTATTTTCTTGAATAGTTATAAATACTATTTTGCTGACAATTTATACTAATGTTCGCAGTTTCTTTTAATTTTCGCTTTCAGCTTAAAATTTACATATTTCTTGGGCAGAAATTGTCTAAAACACGCACACACACATACATATAATTACTAATTAGCTAAACTGTGTCGCCAACAGTGTTTTTTCTTCGAATACGAAGACTATACATATACATACATGTATACATACATATATATATATAGCATGCATATGTATACATAAATATATATATATATATATATATATATATATGTTTATTTAGGAAGTCTGTATATGTCAATTCATTAATAAATTAATTAATTACTCAATGCAAATTTAGTTGAGGACACATTTAGCATTTATATACATATATATAGATGCATATATGTATATGTACATATATATATATAGTATTTCTGTTTTATATACTTAATACTTTGCTCTTAATTTTTCTAGTTTTGGGTAGCCTTTCCATATTATATAAAACTATTTATGCAACAGCATCGTAAACAACATATCATAATAGAATTACATTTATTTACAAATAATTAAACATTATCGTTGCGATTTAGGCATTACACAATTAAATTCCGGGAAAACGTTCATGCTGTATGAAGACATCATTCGTTACACAAAACTAAACTCGATACTAAACTAAATGTATATACAAGCCTTAGAGTTAGATATGCCTATGTATAAATACATACTTAACTAGAGTTAAAGCCGAATTAAAATTAGAAGAAAATCAATAGGTAATACTTTCAATAGACTTGGAGAAATTGGGACATACTTTTGTACATATGATATAAATATATATATATATAGATATACATTTATATATATATATATATGTTTGTATGATTTCTCAGAAGTGGGACTCCCGCAGAACTCTGTTGGGTCTGGCAGAGTGCAGTTCCTGTTTAGATAAACGTGATAACAGGGCATAAATTAATAGGTTTCTTTTTTTTTTGTCTGTTTGGAAGGGTTTTTTGTTGTATCAATTATTGGTAGTCTTAACACTTAAAACGTCTCGGGATTAAGCAATATTTTGATTAAAGCGAAAAAACGTTAGATATGATTTGCAGTTTCGCTGCGTTCCGCCGGGATATGCAAGGTATGTAAGGTGTGAATATGTGTGGATTGCATCGAAAGTGGGTTGGTAGTAAATAATCGTACAACAGATATGTGTGCAGCCGAGAGTGCTGCATTCAGTATTCAGTATTCAGTATTCAGTATTCAGCGTTAACGTTTAGAGTATTAGACTTAATTACAACAAATGACAACGAGTTAAGTATTTACAAAACGAGTGTAATTGCGGTTACACTTTTGGCATTGTTACTTAAATTAATATGCAACAATTACACAGAAATGCTTAAAAGTTAAAGAAGTCTTGCCTCAAACCATGCGAATCAATATATATATGTAGTATATATCCATATATATATATGCAGCTGCTAGGGTATTACGATATTCAAGTATTAATACAGTTTGCATTTCCTTTTCATTTTTTATACACTCACGCACACTCACACGCAACTACATTGATCTATATATATATATGTGTGTAGAGAGTATAGAGTAATTATTGTATGCAGATATGTTGCTTAAATGCATATGTGAAGCTTATATACAACTTTCCTGTATGCGATTCGAAGTGGTAACGACCTCGGGCCGAAAACGATATTCACTTAATGACGAGGTCACCGAGGCATTGTTCGGACTGAGCAAACTGACCTCCATTGGCTGCGGTGTTAGATGATATGATGATGAGGGCGTCGATGTGCTTATGTTATATGTCAACGACCCCAGCGGCGGACTACACGTGGTTATGCCCTTCTTATTGAGGGTAGCATAGCTCTGTAGTAAACGAAAGCAGAAGGAATTGTGAAGGAGTAGAAGGAAGAAAGAAGAGTGAGTGCAGGCTCCAACCAGTATCACCAGCTTACAAATCAAACAACTTAACTAGCTGCAATTTTCAGTTACTTACAATTTGTTTACTTGGCCGGAACGTATAGTGTAGCACCTCATTGCCCGAGTTGCTCAGGAGGCCAATGGTGCTGGCATCCGTGCCGCCCAGTCCGGCCATCACCCCGACGCTCTCTGCGTTGCCCTTGAGCAGCTCGGCATCGCGACCAGTGCAATATTCTCGTGGCATGAGCCGTGTTGCCGGACTGGCAAAGCCAGGCGATGCGCCCAACGACTTTAAAGGGCGTTTTTCTAAATTGGAATTTGGAAATTGGTAAATTTGAAACGCGTTTGCTGGCAAGCACTCCAAGGATAATTAGCTTACCATACTGATTGGGTATAACATCGGGATCGGTGTCATCTATATCAGCCTGATCGCCCAGCATTTGTGCATTGGCTCGAGTGCGTGCAGTGGAGCGCAGCGTATCGCCTGCCATGGCCATGGCCAAGCCATGGCCACTTGGTGAGGTTCTCGTGCCACTGTCTATGTTCACTTCGCTCAGCGCGCCACGTTCGGCCGCATTGCGATTATCACAATTAATTGGAAGGAGACTGTGGTGTGCCTGCTGATTTGACTGCTCGTTTTGCATATGCCCTTGCCCCTGGCTCTGGTTTTGGCTCTGGCTTTGGCCCTGGCCCTGGCCCTGGCCGTTTGTGTGCGGTCCGGGATGCAACGGGTCCAGCTGGCAATCAGCCGGTATTGCTAATTGTGTGTGCTTTACGGCCTTCAGATTATTATCGTTGCGGCTGCAATTCAAATGTGTGCATTAGGCAAAGCAGCTGCCCATTAAGCTACGCCATTAAACATACCGATTTGAGAATCTTCTGTATATGGCAGCCAATATGATGCAGGATATGGCAAACAGCAGCCCGCAGACGAGCGTCAGCCCAGCCAGGAATGGCGAAAGCGGCACACTAAGCCCCGTCGAGTTGCCTAAATGTGTAATAAATTATGATTATGAAGCCAGTTGCGAGTTGCAGTTTAAGACTCGATTTCAATTCAGTGAACTGACCCGTTAGTTTCGCCACGCCTTTAAAGTTAATGTCGTCTATAATGATGGGCTCGGAGCGACCCTTTACATTGATGGCGAATATAATCATGCGATAGGTGGCTGCTTGATCCAAGTTCTCAATGACAAATGTTACAGGCGTGTGCTGCATGTAGTTAAGAGAGAGAGAGTGCGTAAATTGGAAGATAGGATAGTTAGTTATATAGTTAGCTAGCTAGTCGGCTTACGTGTATGGTTATATTCCTGGCCAATTGCAGCGAGTTCAGCTCCACTAATTCGAGCATAAAACTCTGTGGTAAGCCGCCATCGAAGCCCTCTATGCAATCCACTTGCAGCGAGTCCACCGACTGATTGCTCACCGTACAATTTTGCAATGGGAAAGGTCGTCCTGAAGCAGAAGACGTTGCTCTATATCGTTGGCTATTAGATTTATCATTATGTCTATCTACCTGCTGCCACAATTTGAAATACACAGGGTCCCTTCTGGACGCCAATTGAGTTCTTGGCCCAGCAGGAAACGGTGCCATAGTCTAGGTCTGAGCTGGGCGTATAATTTAAGCGTGACATGCCCGTCTGCAAAGACAAAAATCCACAAATTTTTCAAATTTACTGTCGAACAGTTGTGCCAAATGGATTAAAGTAACTAAAATCCGTAGCTTGAAATCCTTTGAAAAGCTCTTAAGCGTCTTAAGCATCTCAATCATCTTAAAATATCTTACAATTAGTGGGTTGATTTAAAAGCTCACTCACCTCGCTGGTGTGCAGACGGGCGGGCAGCTCAGTTTGCTCGCCGGATGAGTTGAAGGTCCACTGGAAGGAGTCGGCCGGTGGCGAGGCGTCCACTTCGCACTTCAGTGCCAATGTCTCGTGTTTGAGGGCGCCCAGCAGCTGCTCATGGTCGATGGCACAGATGGGCGCGTCTATGGGCGAAAATAAATAATTAAGGCATTTTATTGAAATATTTAATGTCCCGACAAAAAGTGGCTTAAATAAGCCGCACAAATATGGCCGAAGAGGTCTTTAAAACTTCTATGAATTAATTTTGGTCTTTGGCTGCTGCAGCTACCCGCTCCACGCTCATTTGAAATACACAAAACCATTGAGAGTCGCTGGCAGTGCCAAGACCGTAGCCAGTGCCAAGAGCCAGGGCTATGCATTCATTGTGCCATAATCTTGGTCATTAACGTGGGGGAGGGTGGAAAGTACTTTGCACCCAGTTACGCCCACGCCCACTTTAGCTTTGGCTGCGTGGCAGATTGGAGTGCGGCCAAAGGAGCGGCGAAGCCCCCCTTGGCCCAAATGCATTAAGAGACATTCAAGCTCAAGGATTAAATTGTAAATTACATATATGTACAGGCAATGCCAAAAACTGCGGCTCTGAGCTCGCAGTTCACAGATTGTCTGGCCATTTACTTACAGCGTATGCGCAATGTGACCGGGTTGCTGAGGCCTTTGCCCTCCGAGTTTACAGCCAAACAGGTGTAGGCACCGGCCGAGGCGCGTGAGACACTCTGCAGCACAAGCGATTGATCCGACAGTATGATGCCCACAGAGATATTATGCTGCAGCTCCTTGCCCTGCCGTGTTGTGTGGGAGGAGTAGTTGTGGTTAGGGTTTGCGTGACTCGCTTCATCAATGGCAAACATAATAATTATAGCTTACATTGTGGAACCAGGACATTTTGTAGGGCTTCGGGTTTGATTGTACAATGCACTCGAAATAGGCATCGTCGCCCTCCTTGATGTCATCCGGATTCAATGAGGAGCCCATCTTGAGTATCGTCGTGGGTTGAACTGCGGAATGCAAATAGAGTTTTACTTATCCTCTTATATCTGAGTTGGCATCTGTGGTAATTAGAATTCGTCGCTGGCCCACTTAGCCACCTCGGACAGCTTCAGCTACGGCTAGGTCCTTAAATACCCAACCAGCCACTTACAGTGCACAATGAGACGCCATTTGTCCTCAATGGAGCTGCCTTCGATGAATTGATTTTCTGCCCGACATGTTAAATATTTGCCATCGTCGTCCCGGGTGGGTGTGAACGTCAGTATACTTAGGGATTGATTGTCTGGCTCATTAAACTAAAAAAGAAGCGCAAACAGAGTCCATTAGGAAATGAATAATGAAAAAGAAAGCTGAAGCAAGAGCTAAAGCTCAGCCAAAACAGAAACAGAAACAGATACCGAAAAAATGGAAAGCGAATACCGAAAACCGAAAAGCGAAAGGCGAAAGGCGAAAGGCGAACGGCTAAAGCTTGACCGTAAATCTACATGAAAATAGCTGCAATTATAAGTACACACAGCTAGCACATCCTGGCCTTTAACGCCCCAATAGCCCAAATCAATAAATAATGAGCTAACATATTTACTAACGAAACAAATTATTCAAATTTAGCAACATCCCAAACCAAACGGCAGACCTCCTGCTCGTCCATAAATGATTTCCTTGATATTTGTTGAACTTATGAAATGCCAAACGGCTGAGCTTTATTAATTATTTATTAATCTATCTTTACGGCGTTCAATTTAACTCAATAAAGTTCGACAATAAAGTTCTCAGCAGGTAAGAGCAGTTTACGTTGAAATCTCGCAGATCTCATACCCGAAACAATGTCAGATATTGAGAGAGAGACATAAAGAGCTAAGTTTGACATACACTGCGATTCATTCTTATTGATTTAGTTTACCATAATAATCTAACTATGGTTTTATATGACAACTATTTATAATAGGACTAAATGTCATACACTGCAAGACATCATTATCATCATTATAATGTCGCTTGACGTTGCTTGGCAGCTTTATATATGTTCTCATTTGAGTTCCATAATTTTCTAATGCATTTTTATTAATTCTTCTTTTAAAAGCAGACTCTTTGATGCTAACTAGACTGCGCTATGTAAAAACTGACTTTCCTTTATATGAAGTTAAATTAATAGATATTGGTCTATCTGCGAGATGAGCTCATTTGTGGCATTGAACTGTCTTTTTTATACTTCAACAAAATTTTCTAAAATTTTTACACAATAAATTTTTTATAGTTTAAAAGCTGCTAAAATATTTTGAATATGGACTAAACGACTGAAGTCTACTAATATAGGCCTATTAAATTTTTATATCAAATATGATATGTGGAAGGAACTGCATATTTTAAGCTAAAAATATATACGAGGGTGGCCTAAGAATATTTTAAAATAATATACAATTTTTTTTGAATATCTATAAAAGAATTTTTTATATTTTTAATTGAATTTAATTTAATTAATTAATAATTAAATACAAAAACAAATTGATTCATTCATCAAATTTATATTATTTCAATTTTTTTAAATATATATAAACATACATATAAACATGTATATATTTTAGCATAGCCTGAGAAATGTTCAATCAATAAATAATAAAAATAGTCGTATTTCAATAGAAATAAATTTTTTTTAGTTTCAATATGAATTTTAATTTGTATTCATGATTGGAAATTATTTAGATTTTTTCGAGTAAATTTAAATAATTTTTGTACTTTTAAAAATTGATATTTATATATACTCTTATATGTTGTTGGATGACTCAAGCAACCACAGGCGACTCAAAAGATTTCATGTCCTAGACCTGCCCCACAGAAATAAATAAATATGTATACCCAAGCCATCCGGTTACGTAATATTATTGTTAACAAATTTGTTTATTGTCTAGTATAAGACGGATTGCAAATAAAAACAGAAAAAAATATATATATACTCTCATATGTTATATATAGAAATAAATTATATATAAAATATATATTTTATATATAAGCTGTAAGTCGTATAGTTTTCAAACCACCCTCGCCAGCTTATTTAGTTTGCATTAACAAGTGCTCAGCTTAATGCTTTTACATAAATCAATATCTGGTCTGTGCAGCTCCCTCATTTTATGAGCGTATTCAAAAATGTTGAACGTGTTATCTATGTAATTTGAGTGAATTTTGTTTTGTTTATGTTTGGGTGGCCTCAAGGCAGCGCTCAATTGCACTAATTAGTAATTTACTTAAATGCTACACACATACATAGATATATATACGTGCAATAAAAGCGGAAAGCGCTTTAATCTGTGCGTGTATTTATGCCCTCCATAACTTCGGCATGAAGTATTGATAATTGGATCTAATTTGAATCAGTTTTTAGTTGGGGCCACAAAATGGTAAACGGTTCAATTAATAATTGAGCTAAACTTAGCAAAAGACATGCACGAAAAGCGCGTGTTGGCTGTAGTATGAATAATTATGTTTTATTGTTGTTAATGAGGGCGTTTAGTTTAGTTTTAATGATTGTTTTGCTTTTATTGTTTTTACTTACGTTCTTGGTTTGTTTCTTCATCTGCTTGTTGGACTTCCACCAGGTGATTATGGCCGCCGGCTTGGAGCCGGAGCTTTTGCACTCAATGTCGTAGGTGCGATCCGCGGATACAAAGCGATCCTTGGTCAGGATGTGCACGGCGACAGGTTTCACTGTAGGCCACAAGTAGAGAAAGAGAGAGAGAGAGAGAGAGAGAGAGAAAGAGAGTATGAGCTACGAGTTATGCAATTCCCTAGTGCTGAGACATACAGTTGACATCCAGTATGACGACCTTGTTGTTTGGCGGCGTCAGATTCGTGTTGCTGGCGACGCACACAAGTCGCGCATTTAGATGCTGCCTTCCAATATTGGGATAGGATAAATGGTTAATGGTTTTGCCATCGGGGCGCTGATCGAATGACTCATCGATGACCGTATTATCCAAGTACCAGGTAACGTTGGGGCGCGGCCGACCTGTAACCCATTAGGGCAATTAAATATATATCTATATATATATATAACTGTATGCATAGAGAGGGAGTGACGCTTACCGCCTGTAACCTCGCAGGCTAGCACAATATCGTTGCCCTCGTTAAAGGATTCCACATTGCTGGTCTTGTCATGCCTGTTCGGCTCATAGATGATGGGTCTATCCGGTGGCACGATAACAGTTAGGTTTATCTTTAGATTGCGAGTGGGCGAGTTACGAAAATCCACACGACAGCGATAAACGCCCTCATCTTCAATGCGCACATTGTCGATTTTCAGCTGAGCTGGATGCGAGGTGCTGCTGAAGTGGGCGCGTGTCCCAAAGGCCAGCGGCGAAGACCACAGGCGCGCCTGACCAAATTGACGACCACGCACATCAAAGCTGCGAGAGAAGAAGTTGTTGTTTTTCAAATGACACTGCAAATTGTTGGCTAACACAATTCTCACTTGTAGATGGGCTCGCCGTCGCCCTCACGAAACCAGAGCACCATATAAACAGCATCGTCGCGCTCGAGCGGCGTTATATCACACGGCAGCATCGCCTGCCTGCTTAGCACACCCTGCACCGATGTCAATGGCACCGGACGGTCCAGCTCGTGTATAAGCTCGTCCGGCTCCAGATAGGAGCTTGCCGCCAGTCCACAGCAGCCACTGGCCAACAGCAGCCGGAAAACTAAATCCAGCATTGTCATATATTCATGCCTGCGCAGCGGGCATCTCCGACAGCTTTGATGGAGCTGTTTCTTCTGTTGATGTTTGTGCTCCTGCGGGCAATTGCAATCGTGTTCGTTGTTGAGCTTTGCATCCATTTTTCTGCTTCCTTTTTGTTTGCTTATTAATTCATTTAAGCATTAAGTGTTTACTGCAGTCGCATTCGAGTGGAGATTAAGTGTCTGTGTCAAGCTGCTGACCATCTTGGGCTTGGCCAAGTGCTTCAGCTTGCTTCTGGCTGTGGACAAAGCGAATGTGCATGAAATGTAATACCATTAATAATTTACGAAGTGCTTAAACTGTTAAGACTTTGCCATTTCTATTCAATATAATTGCATTTCAAAGGACAAATTAATTATATTATTGAGGCAATGCCTTGATGAAGTAGCACAATATGAATGTGCTCGGCATGCCGAAACTTAAGCTGAAGATGCTTTGCATTAGTTTCCACTGAATTTATTTGCCAGGTCAGTTGAGCAACATTTGCTGCTTAGTTATCGTCGTAATTGTATTCAAATTATGCTACAGTTAATTGAAAGTGAAATTCTCTACAAATTACTTAGCAATCTTTAGTCGCCAGCTAGCAACGAGACTTCATATGCAGCAGCTATGCGCTTCGAGTGGAGCTAATATAGCTAATTATGGTTATACAAAGCTGTAGCAGATTGCATAAGCAACAAGCTTTTTTACATAATATATTACATATATGCAGAGTGTGAGCAAAGAATGGAGATATATTTCAAAGTCTATTCAAGTTCTAGATAACGTCTAACGTTGGAATATTTAATAAACGTTGCCATTTAATCATGAAATCGGCTCTGTGCCTTCTGAATGCGTAGAATTAATTAAGAAACGCTACTGAAATTTCAGCTCTATTTTTAGCAGAGAATTTCATCATGATTTAGATCTTAAGCCACGTTCAGTTGTGACTACCATATTGAAGAAGTGCCAGTTAATGCGGCGCCGATCAGCTCAATTGGGCAATGACAGCGAGTCAAGCTGGCTTCGGATCTACAACATTATAATATGTGTGAGTGATGAAGAGTAATTTGAGGCTGAACGAGCATAGACAGTGACGAGCTGTGCTTTCAGCAAGGCTATCTTACAGGCAGGTCTGGATGTTGTCAAGCAGACATTTAGCAACTCAGTCAGCTTGAAACAAGCGCCGCGCTTATGCTTTTTGACACCCTTCGCTTTTTTCTCAGGGGCTACGTCAACTACTTAGCTTGCAAGGCTACTACTTTAAAAGACGTTGATGCTGAGTCATCCAAAATTGATTCTTACGCTTGAAGCGCTGATGGCTAAGCCGAGACATGTCTGCAGCTTCATCAACAAAGTCTGATTTATTTTGACACTATTTAAATTTTTTAAAATAAGTATGTAATAAAAATATATATACACTGCATTCTATTGAACTCTGTTTTATTCCCGTAAAAAAATAAAAATCTGAGCTCTATATCTTTTATTTTATATATATATATATTATTTTATATATATATTTTATATGTTATATACATATATATATATATTATATTTTATTTTATATATATTTTTTAAAGTATTTTGAAACAAAAAAAAAAAAAAATTAAAAATCAATTTTAAAAAGCTTGCTAAAATTGGTCATCAGTATAAGCTACATGAATTCAATTGTGAATATCTTGCTCAATTTGGCAATAAAATAAATTAAAATTTTGTATGTAAGCCACAAAATTCATCTACTTTATGAAAGCAATTACCTAAGAAAGATTTGAAGTTTTAACTTTAATGAAAAAGTCAAAGGTTGAAGCTTACTTTGAATCTATCATATTTTTCTAGAAAAAAAAAACAAAACAAAATATAAATATTCATAAATATATATAACATAAATATTTTCAGTTATCATATTAATATTCATTGTTTTTTTTCGTGCAGAATGGTTTTTTTAACAATTATTAATATTTTTATTACTATAATTTTACTATGATTAAAATCATAAAAATTTACTATAATCAAAATTTTATATATATATATATATATGTATATATACTTCTCTTAGAGCACCAATTATACTCGGTAAGAAATCGAGTTTCGAGTCCGAACGGAAATACCATCTTAAATCCGGAATCAATTTATAAACAAATAAAAACAAAATCTCTACAAACGTTAACACTGAATGAAATTCAAAGTGAAAACCTCTGGCAGCAATTAAAGAATTTGTTGAGAAATGTTTGAAAACATTAATATTTATGTCCATGACTGATGCATGGCTGCCTCTAAGTTCCAGGCATGTGTAGCAAGAGGTAACATATTTGTGCTCACAACAGAATCCTTTTCCTTTCCCTTTTTTTGTAGTCAATAACAATTACGAGATTTGCTTGCCAGAGCGAAAGCAAAAGCAAACGCAAAAGCTTATCAACTTATGAGTTCTGTCTAAGTCTTTGCTTTTGATGAATGAGCTCATGGGCATGAGAACGAATTCATGACGTGATTGTGGTCAATCCTTCAATAAATATTGTGAAATTTTTGTTTTTGTTCTTGTTTTTTTTTTTTTTTTTTTTTTTTTGATATTTCTAGGTGCTCAAGCTCAACTGTCAGCATAATATCTTTAAAAATGTAGAGTCATTTATTTGGCACATGGCTCGCATGCCCAAAAACAGAAACTGAGAAGAGCTTATACAAAAAAATAATATATATATAAGTTTGTTAGACTCGGGTTAAGAAAGTAAGCATGATTGGTTCGCTTCCTCAATCTAGCCCCACCCAAGCATCTCAACATCTCATCTTGGCCATAAATTGTGCTGAACGGAATGTGACACACACACACACAGCTACTCTGGAAGAGGCCATAGAAGAACAACTATGTGTGCGCCCTATAAGGTCTTAGATCTCAGCTGATAAGACAAAAGAGTTATGGCTTTTCACAAACTTTTGAAGATGTCGTGGCCAATCAAGCATAGCTCATGATTATATATCCACAGGCACTCAAAGTTATGGCCATAATGCCCCTTTATGGACATTTAATATTATAACTTAATTAATTATTACGACAAAAAAAAAAAAATAAATAAAAATAATGCTGCTCGTAAATATATGTCTGGCATCCACAATTTGCCTATGAATATGAATTCAGATTGTTATTGTTGCTACCAGCTCGGACAATGGGCCCATGGGCCTATGGGCTAGTTTTTCAGCTTCTCGAGCTCAACTATTTATTTTAAATGCCAGCGATTTGTACTCAACCGGTTCTGCCTAATGCAAAACATGTATCAATGAACTTGAATTCTAGCTCATTGGAAATTCATTAGGTTTTATCTGTTGATATGACCACAAAAATAATGCTTAAAAGCCAAAGTAGAGAAAAAAAACCAAAAATAATAAACAATAGAAGCGTTGATTTATTAATTATTTATTTTAGCAATTTTCGTAAATTTTAATGTGGTTTTTTAAGCAATTCAAATGACAATTTTTCAATTTCCATTTGTGATTATTTTCTTGGCAAATGAAATGTTTGTGAACTTTGCTATTTGCATTTGTAGCCATGGCTACGGACTGGGAAGGGAATTTATGTAAATGTGAACACAGCTCGCTTACACTCGACTACAATTAAATATTCGCCTGCAAATGGCCAACTTAAATAGTGCTAAGCGTTTTCTAATGGAAGCAATTAAAACGCTTCCCGCCATAAAAAATCATTTTAAGTGCGGCGCATCTACTACATGTGTGTGTGCACAGAGAGGGACTGTGAGGGAGGGGGGCGGTTTGGATAGGGGCGTGTCATTCATTGGCACATCTCGCAGCGAGGTGCGAATTTGTTTTTCAGCATGAGAGCAGATCAAAAGATATTTGCATTTTAAACGCAGCCAGAGGTGCCAAACACACGCTTTAATAAGAGCAGCAGCAGCAGCAGCATAAAAGGCGGGCACCAAGTTTCGTATGCCATGACGAACTTTGAATACACTGAGCTGAATGTGAGAGAGTGCGTAAAGTCTAACTGTGATGGCAACTATATGATATAGCGCTTTGATTTAGATTAACTATATGCCTTGGCAGCTACAAGATAAAGAGAGCTAAAGGGCATCAGACGAGCCTGTGATTGGTTTATTGTTAGCTATATTTCAGCACGGCGATATTCCATATTGAATAATATTGAAATATAATTTATTAAGCACTAATCTTATATATGACTTGTTAGCCATCAAACTCTGATTAAGATTAGACAGATGTAAAAATATTTATAGATCATATATGCTGCTAATGGGGATTAGACATGTCTCTAATGAAATGAGTTAATCAATGAAAGCCAAATCTATGCAAAGTCCGCTTGAGCTGCTCTCAAACTGAAAGAAGTAATATACAGCTGTCCAAATCTGTGTTCATCAAGCGGAGATCTCAATATCTAAATACCATATATGCTGCTAATGCGCATTAGATATGGCTCAGGTGTTAATTAATATTGCAGCGAATAATGCATACGCTGAACTGAAAGATATGATACCAATATGACATATACACAAAAGTTGTTCTGCTCGATAACACATATCTTTCCCTCATTGTTGCTCATTCTCAATTGTTACATCTGCCTCGAAGTATTCAAAGTAGCCTTTGATCAGGGCACATTATACTAAACAACAACTGCAGGTTTGTCACAGCCCCAGGCGCTTTTCCTCTGGGAGCGCCTGTTAGCCTGTTTGCTTGTTTGCTCAGATTCCTTGAGCATATACACACACACACATATATATATAGAGTGTATATATCTTTTACATATTTAATATATGAACGGCTAAGTTTGCTAACTGCTTGATGGGGCAGCCGGTTATAAAGGCAGGCGTGTCGGTCGCTTTGAGTGCGGTTTGTTCAAATCGCCCGTTGTTTATTTGCTGGCCATTTTCAACAAAAACACCTTCAGCTCCAATATGATACATAACCGGTTTAAGCATTTTTCTTCACAAGTTCGTTGGTGTTTTTTTGTTCGATTTAAGAAACAAAACAAAAAGACAACAGAAATTGTACACGACGCTTTTAAAATGCTAAAAGATGTTTGGGCTCTGAGTGGCTGGCGCTGCGGCTCCAACGCTGTGGTGTTGCTAATTAAGATTACAGACATTGATACTTTACGGTACGCAGTGGCACGTACCGACACACACACACACACAGAGAGACACACAGTCAAGTGTATATATATAGCTTCGACAAGTTGTGTTTGTGTTAAGGTTTTATGAGCTGCCCAGCAGCCAGTTGATGGCATACTAAGGTGCTCTATCAACATCTGACAGCGGCTGAGGGTCTTTTTGGCTTATTAATTATGTAGCTTAATTTGCGATTATGCAGATATGAGCATAAATTTTCAAGAGTAGTATTAGCTGACTGATAACTCACCAGTTTAATATATGTGCATACTCGAAATCGGTTCATTCAATATTCCATGTTGTTGTTCTTATTGAATTTGGTATTTGTTTTATTGTGTTTTAGCTGCTCTTAATGGTTCAATAGTTTTGTTTTTGTTTTGCCTCGGTTTTTTCTTTTTTTTTTTTTTGACTACCTGCTGTTCAGTTTATAGGATAGAAACGCGCGACACGCCGTCTGAGCTGGGTTTAAAATCAAAAATTGTATGCATAAGTATAAATATATATTTAGACAATATATATAGATAGATAGGTATGTATGTATATTAGGGTATATATCTGTCTGCTTTAATGAGACATTTCTTAACGAGCGCACACACTTAATTGGCCAAGATTTACGTTCACGCTTTAGCCATATCGTTTTGCACTAGACACTCACAGGAGCAACACAATAATAATACATTTCTTAAAGTGTTGTTGTTGCTGGTGTTGCTGGTGTTGCTGCTGTTGTTGTCGCTGCCAAGTGTAATCAAGTGCCACTAAAGATCTCTTGAATCTCTCTCGTTTTGACAACTATTACCATAACAAATCAGCGCGCCTGACTGTGACAGGCCAATTGAACTCCACAGCACAGGCAACTACAACTACAACAGGAAAAAAACACGGCCAACAACAAAATATTTACACGGCACCACTATCGAAAAAAAAAGTGAGGCCGAGAGGATTTCGCTTGGGTTTGGCAGAGGTTTGCTGTGCTGCTTGGCTAGTGGGTACTGCGGCTGGCTATAAGCCACCAATGCCAACGAGTCAACGCCGCTGCCGTTGCTAAACCAATTCCCGCAGTGACAACGAGGCTGAAGCAGGCTGGGAAGGGCAAATGGAGTGGGTAGGGGTAGGTGTAGGGGCTCGGGCTAACCAGGACGAGTCGGCTGACGAGCAGCCGTGTGGCAGGAGCCGCTGCTACGGCCACGTTCACGGGCCGTGCTTGGGCTTATCCTTGTGTCTGTATTCGCCGCTTTTTATGCCACAGTCGTAAATTCCAATTATCGACGAAGTCGAAGCACGGCAGCAACACCAGCACCAGCAACTAGCCTGCGCCACAGTCAAAGCCAAGCCGGCGTCGAGCGACTCGACGAGCTGTGTGAAGTGGAGCGATTTTCAAAGTCAGAGCCCGGCACGCGGCGCACGAGCCCGGCGTTTTATTATTATTGTTGCTGTTGTTGTTGTTGCTATTTTAGTCACAGTTTTGTTTCGTTTTCATTAATATATTTAAATTTTGGGGTAATCCTTGTTATGTGGCATCAGGTAATGCAATTTGTATTGCGGCCCGAAACCAACACCGAAACCGAAATTGAAATTGAAATTGAAATTGAAACTTCAAATTGGATTTGGCTTTTATTTTTGTGCACACACACTTTTTGTTGTTGCTGCTGTATGGGTCAATATTTAACTTATATGCTGATATATGGAATTGTTGACTATTAATTAATCAATTGCGCTCATTAATTTGATTGCCTTTTGGTTAAGCGAAAGAAGTCACTGAAGTTTCACAAATACCTTTCACACTCCTCTCTCACAGACACACACACACACACTCTCAGATATAAGAAAACATTACGCTGTGTGTGTGAGTGTGTGTATGAGTGAGTATGTGTGCGTGTGTCGTCTGTGTGTTTGTGTGTGTGTGTTCGTGTTCGTGTGTGTTTTGGTATGCGCTTTAAACGGATACCCTAAAGCGAACGCATTGGGCTACATTTCAACGTTGGAGCGCAGAGTCCGTGTGCAACATGTGTACCGTTATAGCTTCGCGTATCTACTGGATACACGACTTCAACATCGTCACACTCGTCGCTGCCAACGCGTATCTGCTTTGATTTTTTGTTTCGAATTTTCGAACTGGCTGTCGCTTGAAAGAGAAAATCTAATTGGAATTCGAATTGGTCGCTAGCAGCCGAAGCAGCTGCTAAAGAGCTCAGCCCTCACGAGCTACTTAGAATTTGTGTTAAGTTATGTGCCTTTGACTTTGTTAACGACAGTTTATTTTTTATTTTTTAAATTTATAAGAATATTCTAGGCATTATTCAGCACAAGTATAAATTCAAATATTATTTGCCATTTACATTTTTGTAAAATAAAATTTATTTAAACATATATATCAAAAATATTTCAAATGCTGGTAAAAAAAACAAATGTATGCCTTTATGTATGTCGAAGAAGACTTATATAGAAATGTCACTGCATCATAAAGTACATGCCACTCTGAGATACATTTGCAGCTCATTCATAAATCTAAGCTCGATCGTAAAGCGAGATTTAATTCAATAACAGCAACAGCTAAAGTTAAGCTAATAACATAACAGACTGCTACGCTCTGCTGTTAAGCGAGTCTGCCACAGCTACTGCTTTGATTTTTCGAACTTCACCTAAGAGCGCATAACAGTGTGCAGAGAGTGTAAGCAGCGTAAACTTGGCGATATTCGAATTTTCTGCTAACAGCACTGAATATCGTAAATGCGAGTCTGCCACAGCTACTGCTTTGATTTTTCGAACTTCACCTAAGAGCGCATAACAGTGTGCAGAGAGTGTAAGCAGCGTAAACTTGGCGATATTCGAATTTTCTGCTAACAGCACTGAATATCGTAAATGCTTTTTGATAACGGCTGCTGTTTGATAAATGCGACTGTTAAAATTCGACAAAGCCAATGTTTCTAGCTTCAAATAAAAACGAAATTTAAAAAAAATTATTAAATATAAAATTCAATTAAATGAAATATTATTTATTACTATTATTATTGTTAATATTATTATTTTATTATTTTTGTTGTAGTGTTTTTGCTATGATTAAACACCAAAAACCACTTCGAACTTGACTCTTATTCAGTTTATATAAACCAGACGATGTTCCTATAAATAGTTCGCTTGCATAATAAACAAATTTTAAATGTTTTGACGATGAGCTTTAATGTTTTTAAAAACATGCTGCATACATTAAGTGCCCAACCCGTGTTTGCCAAAGATTCAAATTACTTTTGAACCATTTAAAAGTCATTTTATAGGCCAATATAAATAGGTTATATGCGATTGGCGACCATATTCGACGGGTTTTAAATTGGTTTTGGTGTTGTTACTAATTAATTGCTGAATTTGTTGTGAGCAAACCAATTTGTTTGAATAAAATGCTTCAATTTTACAGTTTAAAGCAGTTTTTTTTACATATAATTGAGCAAACGCTGGACACAAATGTCAAAACGAGCTAAAACAAGCAAAGCGAGTAACCAAATCATATATCCATACAACATATATTTAGAGCATATTTCATTGAATCACATTTGCACATTTGCACATTTGCATATTTGCATAAATTAAATGGAAAATATAAATTCAAAGCCCTGCTCTTACCTAGACAAATAAACAAATACAATATTGAATATAAACTAATAATTAAATTGGTTAGACTTTGGAGTTAACACATATATAAATATTGACAACATTTCCGTCGAAGTCAAGAAACCGCTGAGGCCACAAAATTGTTGTTGCCAAACAGCAGAGTCTCTAAAATAAATCCATTTGATCGGCTGCGCATACTCGTATAATTTGGTATCAATCAATATGTTGAGCCGCTTGTATAAATAAATTCTCTCGACTTCTGAAGTAGATTTCCATAATTTTATTTTGTGTGCTCTCTTCATTTATTTCGATTTTGTTTTTGAGTTTTTTTTTTTTATTTTGCAGAAAACAATTCAGTTTTATTCAGCCAGATGTTATTCATCATGTGGCTTTGTTGTGCCTTATCGTGTGATTGATGTGCCATATTCACACGACTCGATATCGGAGAGGAAGTAGTAAAGATGCTCAGCCAATTTACGAGAACAAACACATGAATGTACGTACACTGAGCGAAACATGCTGTGAGCAGCGCCTGCTTACCAATTATGACTGCTGAAAGGGCTTAAGCTAAGACATAAAGTTGTTGTCTCCTTAAGAGAATCGCGCATGAACATGATTTTGATAACTTAGTCAACTCAATTTGGCTGAGTGTAAGCGGAAAAGTCAAGCCAGAATTATAATTTTCGTTTTCATTTACAGCGTTCGATTTTCAGCCCAAAGCAGGCTCTTAGCAAACTCGCAACTTGTTCGCTAAGTGTAAGTGTAATATATATTTGTAGCTTAGAGTCCATTATGACCACCCATCTGTACATATATATAAATTGTCGGAGTGCAATCACCTGGTCCACAATCGAAACGGGTGCATTAAATCGTTAAAGTAACATATACAAATTAATGCAAACAAATACACGAGTGCTTCGAACAATTCATTGCAGAGAGAGGGAGAGAGGAAAAGAGGGAGAGTTCCATATTTGGGGCTAGGATGGTGCGGGGGCGGAACTTGTCAATAGTTACGACTTTCTGATGTGCCATGGAATGCTAAGCAGATCAAAAGCCCAGGCACGAGCGTCTGCGGCACGAGGTGTGAGAATTCTCAAGTGAGCTGGCCATGCACTCAGCTGCCTGCAGCCAAAGTCCCAGACGGGAGCTAGTTTCCCTCTCTCTCTCTCTCTCCCCTTCTCTCTTTCCCTGTCCTCCTTTAGGAAGAAATGCAGCTTCTTGGACTTAACACTGGGGATTTGTGGTTTATTTTTGGGCATTGTGTTGGCTGGCTGGCGCGCTGGCGGGCTGGCTGGGCGAGCTCATAAAATAGGTGTGGTCATATCATCAATAAATATTCTTCGGATGCTTCAATAAAAAGAAGAGCAACGAGCAAATTAGCTAGAAAAATACTCAAAAAAGAAGAATGTTTAGAATTGAAAGCAGTTGCACGCTGTGCAGTGTAAAAATAGCAACGTCAATGGCAGCGATAAGTAAACAAAGGAAAATGCATCTGCATCTCTAGGTGCGGATGTATCTACAACTGCAGCTACAGCTATATATGTAAATGTATCTGTATCTGTATCTGTATCTGTATCTGTATCTGTATCTGTATCTGTATCTGTATCTGTATCTGTATCTGTATCTGTATCTGTATCTGTATCTGTATCTGTATCTGTATCTGTATCTGTATCTGTATCTGTATCTGTATCTGTATCTGTATCTGTATCTGTATCTGTATCTGTATCTGTATCTGTATCTGTATCTGTATCTGTATCTGTATCTGTATCTGTATCTGTATCTGTATCTGTATCTGTATCTGTATCTGTATCTGTATCTGTATCTGTATCTGTATCTGTATCTGTATCTGTATCTGTATCTGTATCTGTATCTGTATCTGTATCTGTATCTGTATCTGTATCTGTATCTGTATCTGTATCTGTATCTGTATCTGTATCTGTATCTGTATCTGTATCTGTATCTGTATCTGTATTTGCATCCCTGAATCTCCTTGCATGTGCAGCTGCCGCTTTGGTTGTAGGTGTATTTATATCTGTATCTGCATCTGCATCTGCATCTGAATCTGTATTTGTAGTTGTATCTGCAGCTGCTGTGATCGCGTGCCGAGCAGTTCCTTGGAAACTCGAGACCTTTGTTAATTGTAATCATTTGCATTTTGTTACGGCCGTCAACAGCAACATTTTCACCATGAGATACAAATGTATCTATGCAAAACTGAGGCTGCTGGTTGTGTAGCATTTAAAAGCTCATTTCTACATGCGTTACATGTGTTTCGTTCAGCTCGAACATTTATTATGCTCAGTCACAAAAGGAGTGCCACAGCCGAAGACTCTAGATGTAAATGTGTCTGTGTCTATGTCTGTGTCTGTAGCTCTGGCTCTGCAATTTGCATACGGCATGTTTCGTTAGGTGGAGGCCCGTTTCATTTTTTTTTTGAGTTATAATGAATTGCTTGTCAAACAGCAATTAATAGCAGCTGGCTGTCAAATTAGACGCAGCATCGCCTATTGATGGCTTAATGACAACTTCCAAATAGAAGCACAAAGAACTTAGCAAATTTATTAAATTTACAATGAATCGAAACGTAGATATGCTTTGATAATTTGGCCATCACAGAAATTTGCATATGAATGGCAAAATGTCGTTTATACGCAATATTTCAGGCATCCACTCGTAAATGCCGTGTTTTGGGCCATTAACATTAGTTCGTTTCGGTTTTTATGCGAAACGGATGAGGAACAATGATTCTGGCCGCGTCATGGGCATGTCTGTGGGTGCCTCTCAAATCTATATGTTCATCGATTTATCGCTCACACATACGCATACACGCATACCTCGCGCTTAATACGTGCTTAAATGTTAACATTTCAATTTGCAATTTGTAGCGTTTGTCTGTCTTGCGCAGTCTCTCAGTCTCTCAGTCTGTCAGTCTGTCTATTTGTTTGCCTGGTCTGGCCAAGCCGTTACGCACTCGCCACGCCCAGCTCGCTAAAATGTTTTCCAAACATGCAAAGATCATTCTACACACACACGCACCTACAGTTGACCCACAGCTTAACCAAACCCTTTGACATGTATCTGTTACTGGCTCTCAAGCCCAGCCGCACATTTAGATACATTTATACATGTGTATAATCAGAATTCAAAGGCACGCATTATTGAATAAGCCCCAAAAAATGGAATATATATATTTGTATATATATATATATGTATATTTATAGAGGCGTCGTGTTGTTGTGCCATATAAGAGTATCCGTATCCGTGGCCATCGCCCGCTGAATGTGTGCGCCCAGATAAGATACTTTATTGACATTGCGTGTCTAAACACTTTACCGCTACGCTAGTTGCTGTTGCTGCCGCTGTTGTCGTTGTTGTTGTGGTTGTTGTTTCTTGATTGTGATTGTGCGCTTTAAGCTTATTT